TCTAATATCTGTCAGTCACAGATAGATAGCAATCAGACTGATTATGTAACATGTATAACTGAACCATCAAGAATTAGGGGGGGTTCGGAATTATTGTTACGGTTCAGGGGCGTTCAAAGGTAGGCCAGCCCTGTTTAAGATTGCACTTGTCAGATAAAGGGCAGATAAAGGCCTGATGAGACAAATTTGATCAAATTTTCGGGCAAATAAATTGATAAGATGAAGGCGAAATTGAAGATTTATAGCGCTAATGAACCAATGGGAAAATTTGCATAAAAGAGTATTATTATTGAACCGCAGTAAGATTATGAAATTCTGATAGTAAAATTGTTCATGGAATATGAATCAGTAAGATTGTGCAGGGATTTATGTTAGGATAATCAACAGGGGCTGAAATGTTACACGTTTAATTGTTCCGGGTAAAGATAGGGCTTTGTGTGAACATGCATCTTACATGCCTCACAGAAGATTATATTATCAAACGCCTGTTACTGATATATGAAACAATATAATGCAGTTAGTTGAATGGAAGCAGCATTCATTATAAGTATTGTTGAATCTTACAATAGCAAAGTTAAAGGGACTCCACCGCGTTTTTTTTTTTTTTGACAAGACAGGAGTGGAAACTTTTTTTTCGGGATTAATGTTCCATTTGATGTAGGTCTAGACCAATTACTTGTGTGCAAAATTTCAGAAAATTGGCTCACTTGGTTTTTTAAAAATGATTATATTATGAAAAATAATCCAAAATTGAAAAAACGTTGCACTCAAATTGAGCTAATAAAGGACAAAAATACTATTTTCAATTTATTTCTGAGTATATTTCTTAAATACCTTTTTGCACATCTTTCTGTTTTAAGTGCCCAGGTTGATCTGTGTAATTAATTCAAATTTTATGTCTGTGGGTTTTTGGACCTTAGTGGAGTTCCTTTAAACAATTTTTTTTTGAAATTTTGACTTTCTTTTCATTCTGTCTTAAATGTGGTTTTAGCCACAATTGTATTTATGTTTTTTTGGTATGCATATTTTTTTCTGTTATTTAACGAAGATAAATTGTAAGTATCACTTGAAGTAATTGTGTGTATATTTTATATTTTATGACACAGACCTTCAGGGCTATATAATCAAAATGAAATTTGTGACCTTTGCACTGTTGAAACGGACACTTTTTGTCTGAATCTGCTTTGTCCATGTGTCATAGTTGACGTATCGTGTCATTAAACACACCAGTTTAGATATATTTCTTTAACCATTAATTTTAAAAGATGAAATTAAATCCATTCATTTGAAAATGGAATTCTGAAGCATAACCGCAGGGCAATTACATAAGCATCTTGATTCAAACGATTTTGTACAATTTTGGACAATTTCCCTGGGTGGTTTTTGTATTGAGCTCATTAAAAATGAAATAGTCGCAACCTCTTTAACCCGGAGATGGACATAATTTTGAAAGTTATCTTGAATAATGATCAGAAAATATGTCTATGGACATTAAATTTGAAAATGTTGATTTAATCACCAATAACAGCTATAACACCTGGGTAGAGAGGGTCAGAAAATAATTTTGGGGGTCAAAGTGCCCTGAAAAGGAAAAGAGAGAAAAGTATGTGACACTTTGAAGAAAACGTGAATTTGATTGTTTATTGGTTTGAAAAGTTTACAAAAACTTATGAAAGTAAATAAATAAGCATTGTACAATGATGGCGTAAATCCAACACCCCCTCCCCTCAGTATTCAAGGAGGGTGTCACCACCCTCTCCACCCTAAAAATTAGGTTCATTTATACAACAAATTATCTGAAGACAGTGTATTATTTTGCAAAAATGGCGTTACTGTAAGTGTGCACCTATTCCTCCTATATTAAAGTAGATTCTAATATGTTTAAATAAGACCAAAGATCTGAAGCTTAACCGTTAAAATGTCTACTGAAATTAATTTTTCCATTAGATTTTATTTAAAAGAGACTTTCCTTAAGAGGTTTTTCGAGGCAAAATGTGAATTTAGATTTATCCGAGCGTCTAGACAGTTTCCATGAAAATGAAAAAAAAGTATAATCAAGTTTATTTTCTTCGCAAATCAGTTTGGCGTGTCTATTAACATTGCCAAGGAAAAGAAACAAAAACATTTGTCCGTTTTATAGTCAATTTGCACTTTTTTGACTATGGACATATAATTTTAAGAAGGAAATTCCTGGTGACAAGAGACAGTTTTCAGCTGATTCTATTATATCGCAAGCACTCGGGATGACCGATTGAGGATGACCAATACAAAATTCAAAAGACGGAAATTATATTATCCGCAAATAGATGCGTTCATTCAAGCAGAATTCTAAATTTCATGTTATTTGTGACTTTCTATGAAGATTATATAACAGTCTGACCACTAGAAAAAGTTTTATATTTTTGGGCTATAATTGACAAAGACATAAAATGCAAATGACCCTTCCATAATAAACTGACCTTTATTTGACTGGGGTTGTTACCAATTTACTTTATTGAAACTGAAATAGAAATGGTTGACTATTAATGAAGCAATTATCCTCCGATAGTTATGTTTCAGTCATGAACTTAATAAGAATTAGTTCAAAAAAAGGTTTTGTTAAGCCATTTTTTTTAATGCAGACACAGAAGAGCCCATTAAAGGGAAGTAATAGATGAAGAAACATCAAAGGGATGTAATTATTGTTGAAAAAAGAGAAAGAAGCAATTTGAAAGGTTGATAACAATGAGAAATAGTCTATATTACATGATTTTGAAGAGAAATACGGGAAACATAAAAATAAATGGAAAATATTATTAAAAAATGCAAAACTCGTAGAAACTAGCTTTTATGATAAAATATATTAATATAATTATATTAAATTATGTGACACCTACCAGTATATTTTCTATATAGATTACTCGCTTCAACCTTAAAATGATTTGTTTCAATAATTATAACTAAAACTGATTACAAAATAAACATTACAATCAAATTAACAGTAATTGTTGGTAATTAATACAAGTGACTGCTTGTAAATGGATTAAAACAATGTTTTAGGGAACATAATAATTTTTGTAATTTAGTTTTGTTTTGTTGTTGAAAAAAACACCATGTTTTCAGTTGTCCCCACTGACTTTAAAACGACTGTTGGTTTTTATCTGGCATTTGCCAATTTTAAGTATGTGACCTAACAAAAGTGCATTTCAAACCTCGGTGAAGTTTGCAGAAATGAGCAAAGCAAGTCTTAAGGGAGAGCTGCCAATAGTTTCCCACAATTCTGTACTACACCAATGATATGCTCATTTATTTACAGATTTATAATAGATTGATTTGCAACTTTCCTTTCCTTCACTGTAATTAAGTGAGCGTCCCATGGGAGCCCATGTCAGGGATTCTCGCCATGAAAATCAAAGATTTCTGGTAGACTATGTTGGAAACATTGGTTTTAGAGACTATCTTTGGAAAGTTGTGTTAATGAATAATTTGAATATTTGATAAGATGGGCAGTGGCTTTGTTTAATAAAAAACATTTTAATCATTTTATTAGAAGCAAATGAATTAAAATTAATGCGTTTTTTGTTATACATGTACAGTAAAATAAATTGTTTTCTACATTGTGTTCATTACTATTTTAATCATACCAATGTAGAAATATTCTTATATATTGTAACTGCCCTTTAGTCTGTTTATAATGCTATTTACTGATTAAATATATTGGATTTCTTAGGGGCGTCCAAGGCCGAGTGGTTAATGTTGTTGACTTCAAACCACTTGCTCTTCACGGCTGTTGGTTCGAATCCCAACAGGGACTTTGCATTCTTTCATGTGAGGAAGCTATCCAGTTAGCTTACGGAACAAAACGTCCGTGGTTCTACTTATAATTACATCAAACATCATTTCATGAGAATTATTATTTTACCTCAATTTATCAAAATTATTTATTTGGAAATAAATAAAGTGTCAAATATGTTGTTTCTTTTCTGACTCAAGTATCCAAATTACAAGCATGAAATTTTGGTTTTGAGATTAAACATGTTAATTGTTTGTAATATGTTTCCGGTTCTACGTTTTTTCTGTCTTGTTATATAACAAGAGAGGGATATAGTATAGATTATATGATTGCCTGACACTTGTTAGAAAACAACGTAATCTTTGTTCTACCATATTCTGTTTGTTGATACGAAAGTCATAAAAATCATGTAAGTTGTCATGATTGTAAAATGTCTGTCCTCCCACAATGCCTTTGTTCTCTCCGTCGTGAACTTGGCAGTCAAGGGCTTCGTAAAGTTCCGGAACCAGTAAGGTATGGAATGTAAGCAAAAGAAATGTTTTTATTGCGGTAAAAAAATAAAACGTTCTGAAATAAATCTTGTTTCTGTATATGAGAATTAATTTAGTATCTAGTGACACTATCTATGGCTGTCACTGATATAGCAGGATTATTCACGTTATTCCACTTAGAATTTGGAGACCTCCATTGAAACTGCTACCTTAAAATGTATTACCGCTGTGCTCCTGGATATGATTTGACTGTAATATTAACGGAGCTGCCATATTGTGCAGATAAAAGCGACTTCAGCTGCTGTTTTGCTGCAGGTATTTGTTGGCTGCAAGGCGGGATATTGATAACCGGACCTGTCAATTAGCGCCATCTATATCTTTATGAACTAGCTGCTCTCTTCGCACTCCTAATAAATAATAAGGGTTCAAGTGCTTATAGAAAATTGATTTATTGTTGGAGATAAATAAATGAGATCTGACAACTGTGATTAAATCTTCTCTTTTCTTTTCTCTCCAGAATATGCCAATACATCTCAGCCTAAAACATTTTTTAATTAATTTTTGCAATATTCGGAATACAAGAGATTTTCTAGAACAGTGCATTTTTTTCCGTTCTCGTTACTTTTTGGTGTTTAAAAGAAAAGAAAGCATTTAAAAGTCACAGATTTAGATTTTTGAAAAAAAACTCATTGTTGTAAAAAAATAGTTGATAAAATGCATCTTTTCTTCTATTTAAGATGAGCCAATACACGATGCGTTTTTTGTGGACGGTGTCCCCTTGGGTTTGGGTGCGGCGCTGTCCACTTCCGATTTTTGGACATGTACGTATCTTAGTATATTAAATAAATAGAAATAAGGGAGATAACTCTAAGCTGCTAGAAGCATAATTAGAATTATTGTTTGTTTTGAAAATGTTTTTGGCTGTTTGTATTTGGTGTTAGAACTGGCTTCATAAATCGTACATCATGATTATGCGCTTAATAAATGGCCTGGTGGCAGAGTGCCTATCATTATATGGAGTTCTGTTAGTTATATGGTCATATGTTCACTGTTGATTCTTATTTTGATTTATTCTAGAATAATGAAACATATTGATGGATCGGTGCAAAAGGGACATAACTCCTTCATTGTTTATATGAGTTACAGCTGTTCCGCACTGAACCCTTAATATGTTATTAAAACAATCATCTATATGTATAAGCAAAAGCAATCTTCAATGTTACATATACATTAACTCTTAACATGTCTGAAAAACAAAATAATAAAAAACTTATTTAAAAATGCAAAAAAAAATCAAACTTGTATTACAGTTATCAAATTTAAATGCAATGCTATGTTAGAGGGTTGTTAACTACTACATACAAGGGGGGATTTATTGGAGTGGGGGGACCTGTGTCTAGCAGATAGTATCAGTTACCACCAGTGAAGATAGGTGTATCGGGGAAACAGTTGTAAGCTCTCAGACACCCTAGTGTATGTTGTTACATGATGACAGAGTTATCAAGATAACTTCCACATACTTCTGTTTCATCTTTTTCCCTCCAAAACTTCCGCACATATCACTCTTTGACTCTCTATCTCCCTTCTGTAACCAAAAAAAATCCCCCATACACTGGCAGTGAAATATAAAAAGAGAACTAAATCATTTTATAATGAAATATAGCATATGTTTAATCTAGATATTATCAAATTGTTTTCCTAAATTCTGTCAACATAATCTAGAACTCTAGATGATGTTATTTTTTTATTCAAAATGCTAGTGCTATTGATAAGGTTCTTGCAGGAAGAAAGACATTACATACATGATCAACAATTTCAGTTTAATGATAATTGATGGCCTAATGGTCATGATATTTTCCTTTGGAGCCAAGGTTAGTGAAATTTAGCCATGCTGGGGGTAATTTGCATCCCCATGGTAGCCATTGTTTCTGGTGTTAGCTATAGTTTTCCATATCAGCCATGGTTTTCCATGTTAGCTATGGTTTCTTGTGTAAGCCATGGTTTGCTGTTTTATCCATGGTTTCCCATGTTAGCTATGGTTTCCCATGTTAGCCATGGACTCCATGTTAGCTATGGTTTCCTGTGTTAGCTATGGTTTCTGATGATAGCTATGGTTTACCATGTTAGCCATGGTTTCCCATTTTAGCTATGGTTTCTGATGATAGCTATGGTTTACCATTTTAATCATTGTTTCTGATGTTAGCTATGGTTTCAAAAGTAATTTTAACTGGTATTAGATTTATATAATATATATAAATAATAAATATATATAATTTAGTTCCAGCATTTGCAATTCAAGACATCTCTCAGCCATGGCTAAATTTTAGTTATTTTTCTTGTAATTTTGTTGTAAAATACAGACTCATTTGATGTGATATTAAAAGGCATTTATTAAAGGAAATCTGAAAAGGAAAGAATTAATACTTTACATTCATGAGATATTTGATACCATAAAGAACAGCCCACAAATGTCATTGTCTAAAGTTAATAAGAAATACAGTATCAAAAATTTATTAATGTTTTTTGTTCCCTTTCTTTCTTTTATGTTATTTTCTGTTTGAGCGTGGACAATTGAATCTCGTTTCATAAACCCGGTTTTATCTTTTATAGTAATGACTATATTAATAAAAAAAAAGTAACTGTATGAATTTATTTCTTGTCACATTCGTATGATACTGTCAGATTAATAGCTACGTTATTGTTATTTATAACCGATTTCAATTATATCAAATATAATTTCACACTATAAAGATTGAGGGAACAGAAATGACATTGAGAAATTACTTTGTAACACAAGGCAGACAGTCAATGAAAATTTATTAAGAAAAGTATCAGCTTTGATTACGGTGTTTTCTACGACGTGATCAATAGTTTCAACTATTATTGTATTCAGAAATCATTTTGAGGTAATCAGATTTCAATGACAAAAAAATAATAAAATCGGTACTTCATGACGAAATGATACTTGATTCACTTTGATTTCTTATAAGTAATAATGATAAAGAAGCCACCTTTTTGTCATCATGAATGTGAAAATAATGTGGGTTATAAAGAATATTCAACAATTCCGAAGTCATGAATGACCTTTTATAAGCAGTGTAATGCTAAGTTCACTACCTGGTTTCAGAGGAAAATTTATGGAATCGTGGGTTCGAAACCTACTGAGGTCACAACCATATTTCTTCTTCCGGAATTAGTACTGGTACCAGTACCGCTTAGTTCCAGGAAACGGACTCCAGTACTGGTTAGTTCCAGGAAGTGACTCAAGAGTGATTTAAGTTAGGAGCAGTAATGTTGAGCTTAAATAAATTTATGATTTTACTTTGATTTGCTTCCTCTGTCATATATGTTTGATGACATTAAAAAAACTCTACAAAAATACAACACATAAATCATATTGAATATCATACTATGTTCTCTAATACTGGGAGATTTTTCTATATCAAAGCACTTGTTGGAATAGGGGATGAAGATAAAAATGGCTATAAACGTTGTCACAAATTATAACGTTATAAGAAATTATGATTAATTGACACTGTGATCCTGTGGAATAAAACTAGCGTGTTAATATCAGCGTCAGTGGACTGACTGAGTATTAACACGATTGTTTTCCGCAGGAAGTTATGAGGACCCGTGTCAAGAGGTCTTCTACATATAATTGGCAGCTTAGTTTCGATGATATTTATTATCATCTGTATGAAAGTTATAAGGTTTTTGTAGTCGTTTATCATTTTTAATCATATGATATATATGATTGGCGCGATTGTATGGTTTCCAATTTTCTCGGAGATGTATGGCTCCTAATCTGTTTTGTTCACAATCGACTGCACTGAAATTGATCCATAATCAGGAAATCGTAAAAGTTTGTGAACTCATTTTCTTCTTTTTTTAGTAATAAGGCTGAAGAATTTGTTCCATTTCGAAAAAAAAAAAACTCGCACAATCTCTGTAGGACAAATTGTTTAAAGAATGGACTTTTAGGACATAATTAGGAGTACAATTTTTTTTTAATTAGTGGCTTCGAGGTAAAAAAATAAGGGAGGTAATATTTCTCACACTTCAGAACTGATGTCAAAACAAGAAAAACATGATAAAAGAGTGTACCGGTATTTTACAGAAAGTGCCATTTTTTAAAGATTACATGTTTTTAATCTATGTTTTAAGTTACCTCAAAGATATTCTAATCTGAAAAAAGTACAACACTTTTCAAAGCTGCGCTTATATAAAGGCCAATACCATTCAGAAATTCTTGTATAACATAGAAATGCAAGTTTCCGCCTTCCTTGGGAAAATTTCTTGGTTTTATTAAGAATGAATCTAGTCTAGCTTGTTCAGTTTTAGTACCGTTTACATATGCCAATAACCATAAATCATTAGGAAATTATTTACAAATAGATTGTTAAAGTTATGATATATCAGCACATTCTTTACTGAAAAGTTTATTTTTCTAGACAATTTATAGCAATTTATGACACTTTTATCCGCTCTCATTTGAAGCGCGCAGTCGGCGATAGCTTAAGATGGTAAGACATTTGACGAGTTAACCAGATCTGAATATATTGTAATAAATTGTAGGCACTTGCTATTTGAGATTTCTGATTAAAATCACAGACTTCTTGAATTTGAGGAAAAGATTGAAAAATTTCATTTTATATTTCTTTTATTGAGACATTTTGTCATTAATTGGTTTTTGTTCATGTGCTCGGAACATAATGTTATAGATAGTCAGGGACTGGGGAAAATATAGGTAATTGTTGAAAACAGCTGTTTATAAAAGTCACTTTTAAAAACAGCAGGAAATGTTTATTGTTAACTAATGTGGCGGGAATGGAAATTGAGATTTTGCTGTCTACTGTCTTTGATTTTAGCACTTTGTTAGAGCATTTGTTTTCTTCCTATTCAATCTGGGTAATTTTTATAGCTGAAATATTGAAAATTTGTCATTCACAATGTATTTAGTAGGCTTGTATCTTTGAGTTATATGTTTATAATGTCTTCATTTTCAGATTTTATATTAGAAAAAGTTTATTTATTAGTTTGTCTTTAACATTGATTTGTTTATATTTTCAGGGGAAAAGCCATTCCAATGCAACATTTGTGGGGGAAGATTTTCAACGCGTGGAAATCTTAAAGTACATTTCCAACGACATAAGGCAGAATTCCCTAATGTTGAAATGAACCCAAATCCAGTTCCAGAGCATATGGATAAAAATCCAATGCCTCTATTGGGGTCACCATTTCCAGCAGCAGCACTTACACCATTTGCAAATCCTGCGTTCATGATGCCAGGTCTAATGAACGGCTTTATGTTTCCACCGCCACATCTTGCCCCTAGACAACCAATGGCAGCTCATCATGGTATGATTCCAAAACCAAACTTCGATGAAAGAAGACCCTCGAGCCCAAAACGAGAATCAAAATTGTCTGATATTAAAAAGGAAGTGAGTCCCGATCGACCTCGGTCAGACATACCTCCGAGAAGAACACCCGAGGAAAAAGACAAAATCAAGTTGCCAATATCATCTGCGATGTCATCAGGGCATTTGAGTAGGCCGAGTCCAGTGATGCCAATGTCTAGTATACCACTGGTGAGCACGTATCCAGTGATGTCTCCACTTCCATCTCAACCACCATTTCCTCAACATCATAGACCTCCAATAATGACCTCAACATCAATGTCAAACAATGATCCTTTCCGAAACACAATCTTGCCGTCAAACATCCTTGACAATGACGATAATCTCGAACAGTTTATGGAGATTGACAAGTCAGAGACCAGCAAACTTCAGCAGCTTGTTGATAATATAGAGCATAAACTGACTGATCCAAATCAGTGCGTCATCTGTCACCGAGTTCTCAGCTGCAAGAGTGCTCTTCAGATGCATTACAGAATTCACACAGGCGAACGGCCATTTAAATGTAAGATCTGTGGCCGATCGTTCACAACTAAAGGTAACTTGAAGACTCACATGGGAGTCCATCGTGCAAAACCTCCTCTACGAATGATGCACCAATGTCCGGTCTGCCATAAACAGTTCACCAATCTCCTCGTCCTCCAGCAACATATCCGCAGCCACACCGGAATGTCGGGACTTCCTACTCTACCGGGACTAAGCCATCTCGGCATGTATGCATCTGCCCGACCCCACATGGATGAACATATCAGCCATTCTAGTATGCTTATGAAGCGGCACTATCCCGAAGAGTTTGAGAAAGAGTTAGACTTGAGCAAGAAGCCAAGGATCGATAATGAGGTCGAAAAACTTACAAACAATGGAAGGTCAGAACCAGGTGAGATTTCTAATATGTATATCTTTTCAGATTTTAGTCAAATGGAAATATATTTTTAAAGGTCAATGGCTCATCGGGTTAATAAGAAAGTAAGAAATAAATTTTAGAAGTTTATAACTGAACATTATAAGACATAAAAGCAATGTAAAGAATTGCATTATCTGACTTTAGAAACACACAGGCAGTATATTGTGATAATGAACCAACAAGAAATTTAAATAGAAGAAAAACATTTAATTCTGTTTGTGACTTTGCAGCAGACGACATTGAGGATGGTAATGATGATCTAAGTGATAGTGAGGAACAGAATGAAATGGATGATGAGGCAAATAAAATTGCTGCAGACGAGGCCAAGAAAGAGGGACTGGTACTTAATTTTATTTATATATTTTCCTTTAATTTCCCTATTGAAGTGTATTAAAAATGAAAGCATTCTAAAATCCTGATGCGCAATTTAAAGCGTAATGATAATATGCCAATAGCCTTGCACGTGGTTAAATATATTTGAGCTGAACTAATAAGTTTAGGTTTTATTCTAATTACATGTCATACACTTCCATGACTTAATGCCAAAGGTTGACTGAATAGAAAAAGTTAAAAAATAGTAGATTTTATATGTAAATTAACAAAAAGTTACTTATTACTATAAAATTATATAAATCATCTGTTTAAATTATATAAAAAAAATAATGTAAAAAGGATGATATTAATCTGAAAAATATTTTTCAGAACCAGGAAAGCAGTGATGGTAGATCTACTCCAGATAATTCCAGAGATGGGGTAGATAAAAATGATGAAACTGAAGTAACCTCTCACCAGAACAGTTCTTTGACTTTTCCATCATCTCATCCAAGATCTTCCAGCCCAAAATATCTTCAAGAAGACTCGAACCCTTCACAAGAAGGCAATTTTAATGCTTATTCTACATCTCTAGCCGCTCTTGAGGAACGTGTGCGACAAATTGATACGACTATGGCAAGAAACCCACTATCTCAGTTTCACGCCGCTCCATTTCTTCTCGCACCGTCGTATTCTAACGGAGATGGTGCCGTATCACCTCGATCAGAATCCGGTTCAGACGAGGGCCGAAAAGCTTCCACTCCAGGAAGCGTCGGCGATGGAAGTCTCGGCTGTAACTATCTTCTTGGTGCCATGGACGGAAGACCTATTGATGGTAGTAGTAAATCAACAACATGCAATGTTTGTTATAAAGTATTTGCATGCAGGAGTGCATTAGACATTCATTATCGCAGTCATACACGTGAAAGACCATATAAATGTGACCTTTGTGATAGGTCATTTACAACACGTGGTAACATGAAACAACATCTGTTAACACATAAGCTTAATGATGGGTCGGAAAATGGTGACTATGAAAGCAATAACAATAACTCATGTACTCCAAATCAGAATGACAATGAAAGTGAGGATAGTGATGATTCTACAGAATCTCGTGAAATTCATCGTAGAGAACAGTCACAGTCAGAATCTCAGGTCATTATGAAAAAAGATAATTTTACACCACCTGAAAAATCCTCCTCATCAGTGACTCCTCAGTCATCATCTTCCTCAACGAGTAGAAGTTCAGGTGTATACCCAAGTTCAGACAACACGTCTCCATTTATAAGTAAAAATCCAACAGTTAAGCATCAATGTCTTGTATGTCAGAAAGGTTTCTCCAGTGCAAGTGCACTTCAAATCCACATTAGGACTCATACGGGTGACAAACCATTCAAATGTAACGTGTGTGGCAAGGCCTTCACAACAAAGGGTAATCTTAAGGTACACATGGGAACACATATGTGGAATAACAGCCCTAGTCGGCGTGGGAGACGCATGTCTATTGAACCACCATTCATGCTTGCCCATAAAGAAAATCCCTATTTGCCTCATGGTTTCCCACCAAGGCCTGATTTTTATCCATTTCAGTTTCCTCCATTTATGAATGGACTGCCAACGCCCCCAAAGTCACTGTCAGATGTGTCCCTCTTGCCTGGAATGACAAGAATTAAACAAGACATGTCTTCTCCGCCAAATGATGAGAGACGTAAATCTGAAAGCAGCCCATCCCAAGAAGAGAAGCCGAAATATGCAGAATCTGGAGAACTTGATCTCAGTATGAAATCCACAGGGTCGTCCGGTTCAAGGTCATCAGAAAAAACCTCGCCATCCAGTATTGACTCTAACGGTTCATCTGGAATGGTGTCACCACCTCACATGTCTCTCGGGTGGGGATGGAAAGCATCTTGCCACTTGTGTAGTCGTTCATTCCCAACACCAGCAGCTCTTGAACATCATGTACGAAGCATGCACATGGCGGGTTCCTCGTTACCAAAAGTCGAGGCGTCATGATATTTCTTTTAAACTAGTCTAAATTCAGACATTGGCAAAAAATATCATTCCTATAGTATCTTATTTGACTAACTTAGTCATTACCTTATCACAATTACGTCTCCTAGCACAGGAAAGGAATCAGATTAATAGAAAATACATTCATTGTTGTAACTAGTGAAAAAAAAAAACACATTTAAAACAGTAAAAAAAGTATATTTATATATTGAAACATTGTTGTGACTGGCCACTAAGTATTAAAACAATTCACTAGTCTCACTTCTTATAGTATTAACTGGTACATGTTGTAACATACAACATTTTTCACACTAGATCCGTGTTCTGAGATGGAAAACAAAACACAAAATATTTGTTTCCTTTAGAGCATTCTGTGGAAAAACTTGGTTTTGAATTTTACCAAGGTCTCTAATGTGACCTTAGTACTAATGTGGAATTGAAGTACACTGGTTTTGGAGAAAAATGTTGAAATGAATAATTTCTAAACTTACGTTTTTTATCATGTAAATCTTGCATTGAATGTATATATTGCATTTGATTATTGTTGAAAATTGATTTTTTTTTTTATTGTTATATAGATTTGAGGCCATTGCAAAAAAATGTTTGGTTGTCGGACATTGTGATTTAACTAATGTGCTAATTTTTTTGCTGAACAAAATAAGACTTGGGCATCTCTGTAAAAACTGAGTATTGTTATCCAAAAATCTTGGATAAAACATTATCAATGTCTGTGAACCAAACATTGTTTTGTATTGGCCTGCATTTTATACTATTTTAGTACTTTTTAGGTAAATGAAAATTATAATTGTTGCTGATTACTGTGTCAATAACTTTGTTAAAATATCACAAATGCTGTCAAAACGCAAGAAGCATTTATTTAGACATAGTTTGCCTGACATTTAGGTCTTTTTTTTTAGATTTTTACATGTTAATGTTGCAAATGTTCAATGGTTGTGGATTCAATGTTTTTGAAGATAAAAAAGAAAAATACACTTGTATTTCATTTCTTTACATTTTGCTTTACAAAGATTTTTTTTGTACATAGCAGTTGTTAAGATTTAGTTGATTCCAAAATGTTAGAAGTTTGTATCTTTAAGAATGCAGATTTTCTTTGTTCTTGAATTATAGTACCTAAGTTTATAAATTACATGTACATGTAATGGGAACCATTCATTTTTGAAGGCATGAAATAGTATTGTTGTGAATGACATGTTAACTTTATGAAAGAGTTTTGCTGTTAATGGTTTTAATTATTTTTTATTAAAAGTTCACTTTTGTTCATATCATTGTGTTCAAACTGTTAAGTTACAGCATGTGCATTACATTACATAACATTGTTTCTATAGTTACGCAAATTGACATTTTATTTTTAGAGGTGCTTATTGTTTTATTGTTGGTTATTTTTCTTCCAGCTTAATTCTAAAGACAAAATTAATAAAAGTTATAAATATCTAGTCAAAGAACATAAGCAATATATAAAAAATTGTTTTACCACAAAATGGTCATTGGTTGTATTTTACAATTTTCCATGCAAGAAAATCTTAAAATTTCTGTAATTATTTTAATATCAACTTTTAAATGTATTCAAACTGTGAGCAAAAAAGTTATTAAATGCATATTCCATATAAGGTGTTATCTTTCCATATATCTGTTGTTTATATTTAACTTAAACCCAGGAGTTTAAGACATCTTTTAAAAAGCAGTATTTTAAAATGACCTGTAACACATTCTGTTTTAGGTATTGTTACTTTCACTTTGTTTCTGTGCATATTGTATTCAAAGGCACTGTTTATGAAAAAATGAAAGAAAGCAGCTAAGCTAGACGTTAATATAGGTTCATAAAATATGTAACACATGAAAATGGTATATTCCAAACAAGGCTGAATGCATATTAGACACTATGAAAGACCTGCTATGACTTTGGCACAATCCATTATAAGAATAAAGAATTCAGTATAAACACATTTACGGATGTTTCTAAATTCAAAATTTCACCATTTTCATGTTTAAATGATGAAATTTGCTGAAGCTGGTGCTGGACGGCATGGACGGTAGTTGTCACTTGACAGTACCGGCCATGAACAGGCTCTATCAAACTGAGCCTGTAACATTTACAGTTTTGTTGTTTTGGACTTTCTTTATTTATGAAGCAATTGGTTAGAATAAAAATCTTTACAAAAATCTGTCTCAAAAGCTGCCATATTCTTTGTAACACCTTTCACCTTACACTTAACTTTGTACTTTTATTTATCTTATTATCTATACTTGTAGATAATGTACATTCACAGTTTCCTAGATCCAGAATAACAAAAATATCCAAATAAATAAGTAGAAAAGAACATCCATGTACTTGTATGTAAAAATGATACAATCCAAATTGTTGAAAAATGTCCAAAATAATTACCTTTAAAATAAATGAAATGCAAAATTACAAATTGTTCTCTTTTTCATAGACTAAATAAGCTAGATTTATTAGAGTTTTAAAATTCTTGATTTTGTCTTTATTATTTATCTTATGAGACATAACTCTTTGTTTACTTCTTTGGAAACAGAAGTTTCTTATACAATGCACTTAACAATTGTGAAGAAAAAAGAGACTTTGTTTACAATGGATTGTTATGGTTATACTTATAAAATAGTTTATAAAATAAAGACTGATAATACAAAAACCGAATTTAAAATTCTAAGAAAGTCTTTATATATTTTGTATTGAAGTGTTGAAAACAAATTTTTTATTGGACTTGAAGGCTCACCTCAGTTGCTTATATAAATTTAGATAGATTTCTCATATAAAATTTACAGTCAAATCTGTGTTAAAGACCACCATTGAATTTTAAGATCACCCTGGGAATAAAGACAAAATTGTTCACAAACTCTTCGTTGATTTGATAAAACAGATTAAATCCCAAATAAAGTCACCACTTGTCTATAAAGGCCATCTTTGGTCCCTCCTTTAAGTGGCCTGGTAATTAATTAGACTTCTAAATTTCTTTTTCAAAATGAATCTGATTGGTCATCACAATATTTTTTGTTTGCATAATTTGCCCTGGCTAATAGGAACATTATTATCATCAAATCAGTATATAATGATTCAAATTCAAAAATAATATATTTTAATTTAACAGAAAAACAATATTATTTAAACAAAACTTGTTTCTTTATTCCTAAGCCAAAGGTCAGGCTATAGACACTGGATGCTAAATTATGTACCAAAAAAAAGAAAAGAAAAAAAAGTGGCAACTATAAATGTATTAGAAACATTTAGGCTGCTCAAAATTTAAGGGTGAAATAAATATGTTGTTTTTAAGGGTGAAATAAATATGTTGTTAGCCTAGGCTAGCTAGATTTAAATACAAAGTTAAGAGTTTCCAGATTTTGATTTACTAGTATATTAACTTACATTTTAAATAAAGTCATATTATGTTATTTTTAGTCATTTGTTCACACCAAAGATTTTTTATGGCTTTGTTATAAGTTGTTGTAACACACATGTTTATAATGCTTTGCTTTATATATGCATATCAAAATATAAAACTGGGACGCAATTTTTTTGTCGATGTATACGCATTGCAAATTGTTACTGTATATATATATTAGTTATTTCCTTTATTTGTCTTCATTTTCTGGTTGTTTTTTTCTCTATTTTTTTGCATTTTTTTATTTACAATTTTATCATGTTTTTGTTTCACGCAATGGTGCTTTTATTGTGTGTAATTACACAATTTTACAGTAAAGTTTAGTTCAAATTAGAATGTTAATGTATATATACATATATTAAATTCTTTCTTGCACTTTGTGTATGATATAAGAATGGGTTTTTATTTTTTGCATCATAATGAATTAAATTATCATCAATGTAGAATATTGAAGTGACCCTCAATTAATTACAGAACAGAACAGAACAGAGTTTATTTCATAACTTGTACACACATAGGTACAATTAATTTGTAACTTTACATATTTGTTAGTTGTTCACAAAGATCTGCAAGATAGTTTGTCCAAAGCAAACCATTTTTCTGTTATTTATTTTGATTTGGAGATCGATACTCTTGATCCACAAAAAAGTATCTTTTTTTGCACACAAAAAATCAGTCAATTTAAATACATTTGTAAAAATATATGAAAAAAATGTAAATGTAAGTTTAACAGATATAAAGTTGATCAATATTTTTTATATTGTAGTCCATGAAATTTGCATTAATTTTCTTCTTTTTTTTTTTTGGAAGAATTTTGAATTCTTGATAAAAAATATCGCTGTAGAATGATATAAATAGAGCCAGATAAAAGATAAACTTAGGAATTTAATCTTCGAGTTTATTGGATTAGAGATTATATTTTGTCATATGAATTTTGAACAGTTGATTCATTTAAAAGAGAAAATAAGATCAATATCTTGAAATGTTAGGCTTTATAAATAATTACAGATGCTTGCATAATTGAAAATTTTCTGTGATAATGTGAAATCCTTTATGTTTAATTATTATTTAATTGAATTAGGTGAGAATTTTACTGTATGGAAACATTTTGCTGTAGCAGTATGAAGTTTTCATGAGATAGTTTGATTTGATTTTTTTACAGCAAAAAAAAAAAAAAATCTTGCACAGTATAGTTTATCTTTATTTAAACTTAATAAGATCTTTCCTGTATAAATTTCACAAGAATGACACAAATTATAAACTTATTTGTATTTCATTAAATAGTGTTTACATTGTTCATGTATTATTGAACTGCTTGTTGTTTTTTTTGACACACTAATAAGTGAAATTTTAGTTGTTTTAGAGTGATTAGTAAATACATTGTACATGTATATTGAAGTTAAAAATAACTTTTTTGACATAAACTTTAAGCATGAAATACTATTTCTGAGAAAGGAAGTTGAAATTTCTTTCATCACACGGTCACTGTCTGAGCTTCTTTCACTACAATGTTTGTGTCACAAATTTATATCATACATTTTATACATCTCAGTCACATGAAAATATTGTATAAATATGTTTTTATTATCTCAATTAAAGCGTATGTTTTATGCACTTAATTGATCAGTATATAATATGCATGCAAGTTCAATTCAATGTTTCAAAAATGGTTTACACAATTTTACATTATATTATGTTTATATGCTTTTAAAAAGAAAGTACGTTTGTTTAAAACTCTTACGAGAATGAATCTCATTCAAAATGTTATTTTATATATTTAAGTTTTAACCACTGAAGAAGAAAAATTATTAATATTTTTCCGTATGTTTTTTCTAGACTTTGTTCAATGATAAGTAACGATTTACTTTGGAAACTTCTTTTTTTCATATATTTGTGTTCATACTACATTGTCCTCGTTCAAAAAGGTTGTTAAATATGTCATGTGACATGTCACGTGTTTTTATAATGTCTCTACGCACCCTCTGTACGCATGAACGGAACACTTTCAATAAAAAATTAACTGAAACAAAAGTAAAATTTGCCAATTATTTATCTGTATAATAACTTTAAGAAATGAACATGTCTTTTATCTTAATATTTACATTTGTAGCTTCATAGATCATCAATATGTGAATCATTTAATCCAACGAAAGAATGGAATTAAACTTCATGAAACATTCAAAGTTCGGAAATCATCATTTGAAAAAAAAATCGTTTTGTATACATGTAAATTTAAGATAAACAATTGTTTAGTTACTATAGCACATGCCATTTTTAATTTTTAAATGGTATCGTTGTATTTCAAGATTGAGATACCTTTTAATAATGTATAGAGTGTTTTAGATATTATTGTATTACCAATAATTAAATGCCAAATGATTGCCAAAATGCGTCTTTGTCTTAGATATATAAGTAATTAGTAATTCACAAATAGTGTTGTTTTGTTTAAATACGTCATATTATGTACCAAGTGTATTGTGAAGTTGAGCAAATGTTGTGCATGAATGAAAATTTTAAAAAAGTGTGAATGTATATAAATTACATATATAATGTATATATAAGTATAGTAGTTTATAGGTCCATATACATTGTTGAAGTCAAAAGCAAATAAAGTCAAGTGTAAAAGAAATATGTCTTATTTTTTATATAAACCATACGCCATATACTGTACTAGTATTGAGTAATGGGTTACTCTTAGGTGAATCATTTTAATAGCTTGCAGTCCTAGGCTATAAATTTGGACTAATATAATGTGTATTATGACAACACCGTGATAACAGCTTAAGTGTAGAAATTAAAATTCATACATCAGGAAACGTCTAATACTAAGTACCATAATGTCACAACAATGATTCAGTTGATAAATTTATGAAGGAAATGAGAAATCTTCTGAAAGAATAAGGCTGGAAGGATTGATGCAAACTAGATATGAGTTGTAAGTTATATTCATCAATTTATCACCTTCACCTTCGACATGCTGGTCCGTTTAAACATGAAATAATTCGCACCTGAGGTTTTCCTCAACTAGTAAAGCTGGAAAGTCGCCATATGACCTTTACAGTGTTGGGTGTGCAACATAAACCCCAACCAAAGTGTTTTACCGCTGGTTCGTCCGTTCGTACCTGTAATAATTTCCAAAGAATCACCTGAGGTCTCCCTCCGCCAGAAAAGCTGAAAAATCGCCATATGACCTTTACAGTTTTGGTGCAAAGTAAACCCCAAACCAAAGTGTTTTACCACTGGTTCGTCCGTCCGTACCTGAAATAATTTCCAAAGGAGCACCTGAGGTCTCCCTCCGTCAGAAAAGCTGAAAAATCGCCATATGACCTTTACAGTTTTGGTGCAAAGTAAACCCCAACCAAAGTGTTTTACCGCTGGTCTGTTCGTACCTGTAATAATGTCCATAGGAGCACTTGACTGAGGTCTTCTTCCACATAAAAAGCTGGAAAGTCGCCATATGACAATACAGTGTATGTGCAACCAA